AAAAGAAAAGAAAAATTTTTGAAAATTTAAAAAGAAGAAAAAGGAAAGGGAAAAAAAAAATTAAAAAAAAACGGAAAAGAAAAAAGGGAAAAAGGGGAAGGGGGGGAAAAAACCCCCAAAAGGGAAAAAATGGGGAAGAAAAAAAAAAAAAAAAGGAAAAAAAAAAAAAGGGGGGAAAGGAAAAAAAAAAAAAAACCCCAAAAAAAAAAAAGAAAAGAAGGGAAAGGGAAAAAGGGGGAAAAGGGGGGGGAAAAAAGAAGAAAGAAAGAAAGGAAAAAAAAAAAAAGGAAAAAATAAAAAGGGGAAAAAGGGGAAAAAAGAAAAATTAAAGGAAAAATAAAAAAAAAAAAAAAAAAGGGGGGGAAATTAAAATTTTTTTTAAAAATATTTGGGGGAAGGGGGGGGGAAAAAAAAAAAAATTAAAGAAAAGGGGGAAAGGGGAAATAAAAAAAAAGGGGGGAAAAAGAGAAAAAAGGGGAAAAAAGGAATAAAGGGGGAATAATAAAAAAAAAAAATAAAAAAAAAAATAAAAGGGGGAAAAAAGGAAAAAAGGGGGGAAAAAAAAAGGGGAAAAAAAAAGAAAAAAGGGAGGAAGATAGAAAAAGAAAAAAAAAAAAAAAAAAAAAAAAAAAAAAAATGGAAAAGGAAAAAAGGGGGAATAACAAAAAAGAAAAAAAATAAAAGGAAAAAGAGGAAAAGAAAAGAAAAAAAGGAAGGAAAAGAAAAAGAAAGAAAAAAAGAAAAAAAAAGGGGGAAGGGGTAAGAACAAAAAAGAAAAAAGGGGGGGAAAGGGAAAGAAAAATAGAAAAAAGAAAAAGAAAAAAAAAAGGAGGAAGGGAAAAAAAAAAAAAAAAGGGAAAAAAAAAAATTGGGAAAAAAAGGAGAAAAAAAAAAGGGGAAAAAAAGGAAAGAAAATAAAGAAAAAGAAAAAAATTGGGGAAATAGAAAAAAGAAAATGGAAAAAAAAGTTTAAGGAAAAAAAAAAAAGAAGAAAAAAAAGGTAAAAAAAAAAAATGAAAAAAAAAGAAAAAAAAAGAAAAAAAAAAAGGGAAGAAAAAAAAAGGGGTAAAGGGAAAAAAAAAATAAAAAAAAAAAAAAAAAAAAATTTTAGAAAAAAAATTTGGGGGAAAAAAGGAAAAAAAAAAAAGGGAAAAAAGGGGGAAAAAAAAAAAAGAAAAAAAAAGGAAAAAAATAGAAAAAAAAAGGAAAGAACCTTTTTTAAAAAGGAAAGGGGGGAAAAGAGAAAAACCAAAAAAATTTTTAAAAAAATTAAAAAAAAAAAAAAAAAAAAAAAAAAAAAAATAAAAAAAAAAAAAAGGGGAATTTAAAACAAATTAAGGGGAAAAAAGGAAAATAAAAAAAAAGGAACTAAAAGGAAAAAATTAAAAAAAAAAAGCCCCAAATGGGGACCCAAAAAAAAAAAAAATTTTTTAAAAAAAAAAAAATTTTAAAAAACTTAAAAACAAAAAAAAACAAAAAAAAATTTAAATTTTCCAATTTAAACTTAAAAAAAGGGGGAAAAAAAATTTTAAAAAAAATTTTTAAAAAGGGGGGAAAAACAATTTTAAAAAAAGGGAAAAATTGGGGAAAACCTTTTTTTTTTTTTAAAAATTTTTGGTTTTTCCCCCGAAAAAGAAAAAGGAAATTTTGGGAAATTTTTTTTTTTAATAAAAAAGGGGAAAATTTAAAAAATTTTTTTTTATCTTTTAAAAATTTTTCTTTGGGATTACGGGTTAGAGGGGGAAATGAAATTTTTGAAAAAAACCCAAATTTCCCCAAAAAATCAGTAAAAAAACCCAAAAGAAAAACAAAAAATTAAATTGAAGCCCAAATTTAAAATTTTTATTCCCCAAAAAATTAAAAAAAAAATTAAAAAACCCCGGGCCCCGAAAAAGGGGAAAAAAATTTTTAAAAGGTGAAAACGGGTTTAAAATGATTTTAAATTTTGAAAAAAAAAATGAATTTGTAAAAAGGGAAAAAAAACCATGAGTGAAAAATTGAAATTATTCAGTATATGTAAATTTTTTTATGCTTAATATAATATATATTTATTATTCTATGTGAGATGAAACTTTCATATATACTTGTTCATTGACATCAAATGATCAAAATAAAATACGTTCATCATCCATGTTTCTTTTGATTGATTGTTGTTGTTGATGTTTTTATATCCGCATATCAAAATACATATACATCCTTGTCCGATGCTGAATTTTTAATCATTTACCACTGCAAGATACAAGATGCAAAAACAAAAACATGAAATGTATGAGTCATGATTGTAATAAGGTCATTTCTTTATTGGTTTTAGATTGTCAGATTAACTGTATTGATTATATATATATTTGGAATTATTGTTGATTATATATGTACTTGGAATTATTGTTACATAAAATGAACTAAGTTTTACTTATGATAAAAAGTAAATATTCTTCAGCATTGTATTAATAACTTAATTTATTATTAAATAATGTTAATGCATGTTTAAATTTCTGTTAATTATTTTAATTCTGGTTATGCACTATTGATTACACTGAAATATTCATATATGTTTTGTTTTCGGCTAGACACAAACATTTGAAATTATATTGTTATGTGTTATAAAGATTAACTTACTTACAATCCAAATTGGAGACCAATTCTTTAGTGAGGGGGTAATGCCCGATGTTGTGTCTATCCGAATTTACATGTACCTTTCACTGTTTCATGAGCGTCTGGTGATCCAGATCGACCGCTTCATTATTATTTCATTTTTAAGCATAATACTAATTGTCGCAGTATAATTATCGTTCATTTAACACAATTGTATGTTTTACCATTGATTACAACCATTTATTTCATGCTTTCCAGTGTTTTATTGTAATATATCAGATGATTATATTCTGATAAACCACTAGTGAAATTTATAAAATATAATTTTCACTGTAGCCGGACTATATCTGAATGCGGATGAAAGGAAAATCATAACTGAATGGAATAACAGGCAGAAATATATGCCGTCATGCGTAAATTTTGCTTCTTTAGGAAAAGAAAGTCGATGTCATCATACATAATGTTAAAAATGTAATAAAATTAGAGAAATGTAACAGACCTATTTTTCAAAATTGATAATGTGACGTCATGATGTGATGACGTCACATGGGAGAATGCGCGACGTTACGCGGCAAAATTAGTAAAAAAGTACTTAAAATCACTTAAAAGCATGAAATAAAAAGAAAATTTATTTGTTTTGCATGTAAGATTGAAATATATTTCATTCGTGAACACCAGCTATTATATTTTCACTCGTGGCTACGCCACTCGTGAAAATATTGCATCTGGTGTTCACTCAGTGAAATTATATTTCAATCTTACATGCAAAACAAACAAATATCCTCTATTGATATCACGCAATTGTCCGTATATTTATGTAAAATCCAGTCCCAGGTATCGCGCGCCATACTTGTTGTTGTCGCTGTATGCTCCGTGTGACGTCACATTCTAATCACGTGAGACGAGGTACACAACAACAACAAAACGGTTATAGTAAAACCGCAGTTGAAGATCGAGAGCTCGACCGGGTGGTCAGTTAGAAAATGGAGGTAAATTAACCTGAATGGGTTATATATTTACTTTATAAAGATAAATAAGGTTTTACCAGTCATTGATCCATAATAGAATACCTAATTATTGAATACTATAGATAGAGACCCCTTGACCAGATCGGGTCAAGAGTACTAAATTTTTACCTTCTTCTTAAGAAGACGATCAGATACTTGGAACTGGATATATGAATTATATCATTAACTGTATAAGTGACATTGACATTTAATTGAACCAGAATTTGTTTATACTAAGTTGTTATAATATTTAAGAGAAAACTGAACTTGACCGAATCCGGTCAAGGTATATTGAACAATCTATATTTGTAAATAAACTGTTTTAGTGTTTAATTGCTAATGGTCTGATTGACCCAATATTAAAATAGTGTGTAACTGGAACTCTGTCTTCTGTTGTCCATCTATATATAATTAGTCCCACTAACTCCAAATTAATTGGAGTTCATGTTATGACCTTTTGAAATCAATACATCCTGACATTTACCTGATTGATTGAAAAAGGGGCATAACAATATAACAGTTTCTCTTCGATATGGATATCAACAGTTTTTGACTCGAGCACGGGCTTAATATAAATATGGTGACTATATGTAACACAGGCTGAATAAAAATTACGTTAACATATATGATTTCTTTCAGGCACCCGGGAACAAAGTTATAACATTGAACCTAAAAATGCTAGAATTTGGCTCGGCTAGTTGTGAGGAAGAAAGTATTATCATTTATGAAGGCCAGAGTACACGTGAGTATTTGAATGCATTTAAATAACTAACTGAGTCTATATAAAGAACAAACCTACAACTTAACGTCTATTTTATATGTTGAAAATATTTTTAGCTCATCTGAGCTAGCTCAGATCCGTCCGTCCACACTTGTTCGTTTACACTCTAGCGGTTACATTTTTGCCTCAGTCATCATCAAACTTTGTCAGGATGCTTATCTAGGTTATAACTCGAATGAGGTTGTACATGGGTCATCTCGGATGAAAAACTAGGTAACAGGAGCTAAAAAAATGATAAACCTTGTTAACACTGTTGTGGTTGCATTTTTGACTCAATTATCATCAAACTTAGTCAGGATGAGTACGAACATGAGTTATCTCGAATGAAAAACAAGGTCACAGGAGCAAAAAATAGAAAAATCCTGTTAACACTCTAATGACTACTGTTTTGATCCAAATATCCTGGAAATTAAACACTCTAGTGTTCACAATTTTGACTGTCATGAAACTTGGTCAGAATGCTTGTCTAGGTATTTGTTCGGGTGAGTTCGATGGTTCAGGTGAGCGATCTAGGGCCATATTGGCCCTCTTGTTTCTATTGTTTCTTGTTTCTATTCATACTAAAGCAACAATTAAAACGGTAGAAACAATGTACCACTGTTATCTTCTGCCGAATTTGCCAATCAGACTGAAATTCAACACAAAAAAATCATCCTAAATGCATAGTCAATAAAATCGTTTGATTTAAAGAAATGTTGGTCACAGGAGCTAAAAATTGAAAAATCCTGTTAACACTCTAATAACTACTGTTTTGATCCAAATATCCTGGAAATTAGTCTGAACGTTTGTTTTGATGATTCCTAGGTCATGTTCGAATATGGGTCATCTGGTGTCAAAAACTAGGTCACACCGACCAAATATGGAGAAAACCTTGATAACACTCTAGTGGTCACATTTTTGTCTCAATTGTCATCAAAGTTGGTCAGAATGCTTGTCTAGATTATTTCTCGGAAGAGTACGAGCATGAGTTATCTCGGATGAAAAACTAGGTCACAGGAGCTAAAAATAGAAAACTCTTGTTAACACTCTAGTAGCTACTGTTTTGTTCCAAATATTCTGGAAATTGGTCTGAAAGTTTGCTTTGATGTTTTATAGGTCAAGTTCGAATATGAGTCACCTGGGTTCATAAACCAGGCCACACTGCTCAAATATGGATAATCTTTGTTAACACTCTACATTTTTGACTATCATGAAACTTGGTCAGAATGCTTGTCTAGCTATTTGTTCGAGTGAGTTCGATGGTTCAGGTGAGCGATCTAGGGCCATGTTGGCTCTCTTGTTTCTATTCATTCTGAAAACAACAATTCAAACGGAAGAAACAATGAACCACAGTTATCTTCTGCCGAATATGCCAATCAGACTGAAATTCAACACAAAAAATGATCCTAAATGCTTAGTCCATAAAATCGTTTGATTTAAAGAATTCTTGTGGTAGCAAAAACATAATGAAAAAAGTAAAAAGAGTAGAATCGATTCATGTTTGCGATTCTTAGAGCATAGGGTCGCTCTTATTCGTTAGCTGTTATCTGCCTGCCTAATTATTCAAGGAAAGAAACATTGTCTACCTACAAATGGGAAACAGTTTCTACCTGAAAAAATCACCATGCTGCAGTTAGACAAATATATGATGATACATGTAAAATATTTTTCAAATGAGCAGAGATGCAGAAATATCAGTAAACCGAGAAGTTCAAACTCAGTGATTTGTATGATTCGATTGGGGGATATAAATTAAACGAGAAATAACTCGATCATATTTATTTATAACAATATTCTGAGAACATACATTATGCAATTACAGAAGGAACACCCCTCGGCACAATTTGTAGTGACACTGTTCTGGGAATTCTGCCTTATCATGCAAGTTCAATGTTTATTGAGTACAGAAATCCTCTTAAACAAGAAGGTGAACGTTTTACAATTGATTATATGTTTGTCGAGGACAACTTTACTCCAGCACCTGTACCATCAACAACCCCATCTCCAGTTGGTGGAAATAATGGTAATGCTTAGTATTGTTACAGAATTTAGAAAAAATAAACATTTGTAATTAGTGCACTTTGCTCTATATTCAAATTAACAGATTCGTTTTCGGTATAACAAAAGTCAAATGCAATGTTTTTTTAATAAGATTATCATTATATTGTTTTGCTTTCAGACTGTAGTCGAATGTACAAAGGAATCGATACAGACAGCGGAATTTTGGTATATACAGCACCCAAATACGAAAACAACAAAGATTGTATAGTTGTTGTACGTAATGATCAATTACCATATCACGTGGTACAGATAGAATTCGAATACTTTGACATTGAAGAATCGGACAACTGTATCTTTGATTCCTTGAGAGTTTTATCTGGAGAAAGAAATGGTATTTAAATTAGTAGTTTCATGTCTTTGCATATTCTAAAACTAATTAATATAAATCAAAGAAAACATGACAAGAATATTGCATGTGAGATTAGCAGTGCATAATTGATACATTTTCAAATTAATTGAACAAAAGCATAGTTTGTATTGATACTTATACTAACACCATAGAAGATTTCCTTTATATAAACTAAGAAGGTCGGATGCGTGATATATTTCACAGCGGATACACTAGCCGCTCTTATTTTCTCCCTTTCATATTTGCAAACTCACGCATTGACGATGTGATTATGTTTGAGAAATCTAATAAATAAGAAACAATTTTTTGTTGACTTTTGCCCTGAAAACTATCTAGCATGATAGAAAATGGTCTAAGAAAATTAATCCGAACACCAATATCCTTAATTCAGTCATTTGTACTGTACAGACGTTTGAAGTGTTGTAAATGTGACGTCACAATTCAGCGTCAAACAGCACGTGCAAAAAAGTAAAAATAACGCTATTTCAGTATTGCAAAACAAACAGTTTAATATTACTTTAATTTCTCTATAAATACTCTGTATTTCGCTTGAAAAATATTAAAATACGAATCTATTTAAGTATAAGCCATCTTCGACGGAATTATTTTGATGACCCGATTTTATCATTAATTCTACAGACTCTGCTTTGCTTGGTGGACCATACTGCGGTGAAAGTCTACATGGGCGAACTTTCCTAACACGCGGTAACTCTCTTCGCCTTGAATTCAAAACAGACGTGTCATTTGCCCTAAAGGGATTTCAAGCAAAAATTTCATTCGTACCAAATACAGGTAACACAATTTGCTGCAATATTTTTGTGTAGTATACTAGCTGTTATTTAATTAACTACTTACCTGTTCTATTTTACAAACTGCTAAGAATATCTTCTGTAAATATATTAATGTTTTGTTGAACATAATTGATTTGTATTCTTTTCATAGTTATCTATATGTAATAATTATAAGTTTTCATTTATAAAAGAAAAAAGCAAAGTTCAGGTTAAAGAATGTATTTAGGTATACGTGTACTATGGATCACTTGAATCATATATCAAATTCACAAAGCACATAATTATAATCAAATTATCAATGTGTGACTTAATCAATGATGTTATATTTTCGATCCTTGAAGATCGTTCAGCACGACATTATTGTTGTGCTTGTGGTATTTTTAGTTTCAACTTTTCGGCATTTTCTACTTGGGTGGTTCCAATATTCCTACTTGAATAATGTTGAATCACCCTTAGGATATGTTGCCTGCTTTTTAAATTTGTCTTTTGACGTCTTATCTGTGATACGCAGGCTTCATAACCTCTGATCCCCTTTCAAAATTCCATTTTATTTAGTTCCGCCCATTGTTTTCTCGTTTAGGGCACACGCTTTTTATTACTTGGGGACCATACGCCGCTTTTCATGGAATGGCACAGAAGTGTCACATTGAAGGTTCCATGATAACCGCCGTATGAACACATCTGCGGATGTTTCTAAATTCAAAATTTTACTATTTCATGTTTAAATGTTGAATTCTGCTGAAGCCGGTGCTAGGGGGCGTGGACGGTAACTTGCACTTTCCAGTACCGTCCATGAACAGGCTCAATCAAACCGAGCCTGCAACATTTTCAATTTTGCCGTGTTGGGCTTTCTTTAGGGATTCTATATTTATCTATTTTATGATCACATCCGTGTTATTTGTGCCGTGTGGCGGCTGTAAAAAGTCTCCCCGTACATTTAATCAATGATGTTATATTTTCGATCCTTGAAGATCGTTCAGCACGACATTATTGTTGTGCTTGTGGTATTTTTAGTTTCAACTTTTCGGCATTTTCTACTTGGGTGGTTCCAATATTCCTACTTGAATAATGTTGAATCACCCTTAGGATATGTTGCCTGCTTTTTAAATTTGTCTTTTGACGTCTTATCTGTGAACGCAGGCTTCATAACCTCTGATCCCCTTTCAAAATTCCATTTTATTTAGTTCCGCCCATTGTTTTCTCGTTTAGGGCACACGCTTTTTATTACTTGGGGACCATACGCCGCTTTTCATGGAATGGCACAGAAGTGTCACATTGAAGGTTCCATGATAACCGCCGTATGAACACATCTGCGGATGTTTCTAAATTCAAAATTTTACTATTTCATGTTTAAATGTTGAATTCTGCTTAAGCCGGTGCTAGGGGGCGTGGACGGTAACTTGCACTTTCCAGTACCGTCCATGAACAGGCTCAATCAAACCGAGCCTGCAACATTTTCAATTTTGCCGTGCTGGGCTTTCTTTAGGGATTCTATATTTATCTATTTCATAAGTCATCAAATCAAACTGCTCTGTTATTCAACTTGCAAATACAATTATAATCATTCAAATATGATATTCTCCATAAAGACCTACTAAGAGATTGTCCTAACAATTTTTTAGTAGTATAATCTTCAAGACTGGCCGTTACCAGCTTGCAAGATTGAGCCTTTCCTGAGATTCAATGAGTCTCAGGCAAAGACATCAACAACATAATAGAGCTCTACCATAACAACATAAATGTCACTCAACTTACAGTACATACAACACATGTTGCAGTTTAAACACTGAAATACATCAATGAATGAACCAATTTCCAAATACTTTTATTCATTCATATAATAAGTACAGTGAGTTAGCCAATAGCGGATCATAGTCAATAACGGGTCAGTCAGTAATTTAATAAATTATTTTACTTAATGTTTTGAACTTAAAATAGTTATAACCTTACAGTCATGTGCATTTGGATGTTAGCTCCTCGACAGCGAAAAAAAATTTAACATCCGGATAATTCTCATCAGATTCATTCAGATGCTTTACCAAGCGTTTCCGTTTGTCGCGAAATATTGCGCCAGTAACAACACAAATTCACAGTCGCTGCTTTATTGCTGAAAACTCCCAAAAGATATTAGATCAAAGCTGGTAGGTATCTGATGCCCAATATGTTAACTATCTGCAGCAGCAGCCGTTTAAAAAATGCATAAGGAATTATAGTGATAGCGCTGGTCAATTAAAATGCATCACGTTGCCCAATAGCGGGTCATGTAATTTTCCAGGAAGGGAAGTTATTCAACAGGTTTTAGAAAATATTTTTTAAAGCAAATTTTGGTTTGTATATAAATAAATATAAAATTTAATTTATTTATGTTATTATTGCAAGTGAATTATGCAGTCCATGCTAAAATATGGTGTTTTATGTAGTATAAACTGCTGCAACATTGAAATACTATTGTTCTAGACTAGATTCTAAAATATTATTTTTAACTGTACAGTAACTTCTTTATTTTTAAGTTATCCATTTTAAACTTCAAATACATGTTTTTTATCATCACCCACAGGATGTGTGACAAAATTTATTACTTTAGCACACATTTTTTTACAGAATTATTTCCCAATTGAACTTAGAATTTTGTTTAAAATTTAATAAAAAAAATTTTTTATTATTGTTATTATTACTTCTTCATTTCTTGTGGTATCTACTTTTATATTCAAATATTTGTTACTTATTATCACACACATCACATGTGATAGATTTATCACTCTAGCATGAATATTTTTGCAATAACCCCCCCCCTCCCGGACTTTTGGTTATTGTTCTTTGTCATACTCACATCATGACATGACAAGCTCATTTGTTTACTTGTTTTATTGTTTCAGATTATAATGCCTAAGGGAAGAGAAAAAGTGTTCAATGTAGTCCAGCCCAGAATACAGCCTCCGCAGTGGTAAAAAAATACAGAGGGAAGCGAATGAGTCCTGGGAAAGTGCAGAGAGTGAGACGAGCCCTAAATTAAAATTTATTACACAAAGTATGAATTAAAGAATAATAGTTTTAAACATGGCTAGCCCATAAAAAATAAATAAATGCTTTAATGCTGTGCTAGTATTTATTCTTTTTTCTTAACTTATACTCATTAAGATTACTTTTTTATATAAATAAAGCTATTGTTAAATATAATTTTCCTTTATTAATGAAATAATTTTTATTTTTCAGGAAACTTCAGAACAATCCATGGTCCTTAAAAAGTCAGTTATCAAAGGGTATCACGCTTTTCAAATAAGACCACCATCAACTACACCCCCAACACGTCTAACTGTAGAGCCTGAATATACAAATATCCATGATACTGATGCCTGCTTGGTGTGGTTGCCGCCACTTGAGTCATTCCAAATATTGTTACATGATAGTGTCACTGACCAAAAACGCCAGCTACGGTTGCGAGATGTAGCAGGACTTCCAATTAGCCATTGTCCACGAGGTATAGCTGGTTTTTTTCGTACCATTATGGACAAAGGACATATTGAAGCTGAATTTACCGGTGTGCCCACTCAGAGTTTCCCACCATGGCCGGCTCCAAGTTCTGAAGGTGGTGGGGTTGTGTTGCCATGCAACTATATTATATTTCATCCAGATATTGAGAGTAATTTTCAAAATATGTCTGTAATGTTAGATAAAATCCCAGAAGGCCCTGCTATGACACTGAACAAGGAATAAACATGTGTAAATTTTCAAGCCAATTAAGCCTAACAATGCTATCATTATTTTTTTCAAAGTCTTGTTTATTTTTCAAAGCTTAGTTATTTTTAATGTCCATTTTGCACTTTCCAAAAGTTACTTATTGGTCATATTTCTGAACCATTTTTAGTTTCCTTTTTGCTTAGGTTTAGTACAGTAAAAGTTAATTAGTATTTTGTATTTATTTACTTGCTTTATCACAATGATTTTATATTCAAAGGTATTTTTATCAGATGATAAGCATCTCATATGATATAAATCCATATTACAACATATTTAAACTCATTTTTGCACTTTCGACAGAATTATTTATCTTTCATACACATAATGTGCCTGTATGTGACTGAAAATGCATAATTTTTTAAACCAAGCAAGTATTGTTTAATGATCTAGTCAATATTGTTTTACATCATTACATGTATTTTTTTAGGTTTGACATTGAACCAAGTCAGTATTGTTTAATGATATTAAGTCAATATTGTTTTACATAATTAAATGTTTTGTTTTTTTAGGTTTGACGTTGAACAAAGTCAGTATTGTTTAATGATCGAGTCAATGTTGTTTTACATAATTACATGGGTTTTTCTTTAGGTTTGACTTTGAACCAACCCAGTATTGTTTAATGATCGAGTCAATATTGTTTAACATTATTCACATGTGTTTTTTTAGGTTTGACATTGAACCAAGTCAGTATTGTTAAATGATGTAGTCAATATTGTTTTACATCATTACATGTATTTTGTTATAATTTTGTTTGTTTATATTACAGAGTGTACTCAATAAGAGAAAATCAGTTGACAAATTTGTTTGTTATTCTTATAAAGTGTATCCTCATAATGACCACATAGAAGAACATGCAAATTTCTTGAGACTGCATTTTAAGCTTTTGATTCACAACAAGAGACTTGTGTTACAGTTAATTTTATGGAATTTTACATAGAATGTGCACAAAATTGCTTCGATGAGCTGCTTTGTCCCCTGTAACCCTGAAAATACAAATGTAAAATAAATATGTTATCTACACAATTTACAATTCATTGAGCTGATATCTAGATCAGCATTATTACAATCGTTATTGATTTTACCACAATCATGCAGCTGCCACTTAGATTCTTTACTTATTGGTACCCTTTTCACTTTAATACTCAGCGGTAACACATACATGTAGTTGTGTAATATTTTCCTGGTTAAGGGAAGAATTTGACAGATAATTAATGTTTTGAGAAACCCCCCCGTTCGTATATCACGTGACCCGCTAATGGCCGATTTGACCCGCTATTGGCATGTTTACAAAGGGTTTGGAAACGGTAAATACACCACGATGCATTCAAAATATGAATTCACAAGAAGTATACAGTAAAAGGGGAATGAAAATACTTCTTATCATCATACATTTATATATAAATCTAAAAATCGTTCGTTCATAAACACTAAAAGTTTCGCTAGTGACCCGTTATTGGCCAACTCACTGTATCTAAATGTTTAAAGGGTGGGTACTGTAGGGTGGGAAATTTCAACTTTAAAAAACTTGTGATCCTAATGGTCAACTTATACAGAATGACAAATATTGTCAAGGAGAAAAGAAAGAAAATATTTTACCGCCAATGATATAAACGACCAATAAAAAATTATTATGCCAATATGATGCATAAATAAATTTAGACCAATGAAAAGATGTTTTGTAAAGGTCAAATCATTCAACCTGATAATTAAGTTATTTTTAGATCAAAATAAACAAGTTTAATATATGAAAACTATAAACTTTAGTGTGTTTTACTATAATTACAGAATGCAGTTGCAATGGAAAGAAGATGTGCATTCGCCAGGACTTTGAGAAAAAGTTAGTTTGGCTTATTTCAATTTTACAAAAAGTTTGAAATAGAAGTTGATATAGTTTATGGAATGACTAGGATAATAGAACACTTGACACATTGCTGCTTTTTATTAAATCCGAACTTTACGGTAGCAAATCATATCTATAAACATACCAAATACAATATACTCGAATATTTAAAAGAAATTTAGAAGTTCTTAAAATCGTCTTTGACAAGGCTATTAAATAATGTTGTAAATCCACGAATTTCTTGTTCAAGATATTCTAACATTGTGTTTAAATGTAAAACTTTCATTTTATACATTTTAAGATGTATTCACGGACAAAAGTGTGAGTTAAATAGCTGTCAAAATGGCGGAACGTGCATGAAAACAGGTTTTGAAGCGACTTGTTACTGTCCTAAAGGTTTCCAAGGAGAAGATTGTTCACAAAGCGATGTAAGAATATCTTGTTTAAACTTTTAATGATTTTGCTTGATCCGATTAATTCGTATTTATATATAATGTTAATGTAATGAAGATTTTTCATACTTGCCTAGGTCAGGTGCTTTTAAATTTTGCAGCAATGTCGTTTGTCTTACTGGACAGGCTGTACATCTCTTAAGTGATGAATACATTTACTAGTCTAAGACGTATAACAATATGCTACTTAAAAACAGTTCTATGCTATAAAATGTATCATTTTTTTAATATTGTCTTCATTCACAATCACTTATATGGAATACTTCTCATTTAAAGCTTCCCTTAACTATATTAATGACAACGTAATATATCTAGCCCAACTTGTTTTGGTCTGTCAATTTTTAAAGATTTGGAAAATATCAAAAAGGGATTTTATTCTTTGTTTTAATTAGATCGATTTGTGAAGTTAAATTTGCTTTGGTGACAATTATCATAAATTAAAATGCCATTCCAATTTTTAGTCCCCTTCCGGTTTGACTGGAAGGGACTTTAGGTTTACCCACCGTCCGTCTGTCATTCTGTCTGTCTGTCCGAGCAAACATTTTGGGTTTAGGGGCTATATAACAGTAAAGAGAACAAAAGAGAACAAAAGGTTCATTCCGTGTTGCTAGTAGCCCTTAAGAAAACAAAGAAAATAACAAAGAAAATAGCCCCTAAACCCAAAATGTTGGAACGTCCGTCTGTCCGTCTGTCTGTCCGTCAGTCCGTCCACAAAATTGGATCCTGCGATTACGCAAAAGTACTGAATATATTTTTATGAAACTTGCAGTCTTGAGATTATGAACGTCTTTTTCTTTTCTCCCTATGTTGAAAAATTTGGTTGCTATGGCGACTAATAGGCTTAAAATATGGCAAATATACCGGTAACAATATATGTCATTACTCAAAAAGTAGTGAAAACATTTTAATGAAACTAAAACTATATGTTTCTGATCATCATCCTCATCATATGTGACAAGTTTAACAACTCTAGCACAAAACATTTCAGAATAACCTCCCTTGAAATTGAATTTTCATGAAAAAAAAAATGATGATTTTGTTCATAACTTCTTTATTTTATAATGTTTCTACTATAAACTTCATATATACATGTATGTGTCTTATTTTACTAAAGTCATTTGGGAGGAGGTTCAATATTCTAGCTTGACTATTTCCAGATTTATATCCCCTTGAACTTAGATTGTTTTGCTAGAAATCATTGTTTAATTCAAACTTCTTTATTTCTTAAATCTAGCATCCATATTTCCAGAATTATCTCCTTCTTAAACTCTCTGATTCTTTAACTTTCTTATTTCTCCATGGATTTACTTCAAATCTAAAAATGACATTCATTATCAAGACATACTTCATATATGATTAGATTTATAAGAAATGTGTTTCCATGATTATTTCATTTCACCTGGAAATTTACTTGAATTTTTTTCTTTTAATTTTCTTCTTCGTTACTATAAATGGTATATATCTATATATTTTCACTATTTTTTTTGTGTTACAATAAATGGTGTCTTCTATAAACTTAAGTTAATTGTTCTTCATTACATTCACATCAGGTATTAAAATGTTCATAAGTCTAGCATCTTTATTTCAAAATTTATCTCCTCTTAGTTAAAGAATTTTGCTTTTAAAAATATTATATTTAACAATTAGGGATTTTTTTGTTTAAAGATTTATCCCCATAGTCTCTGTTAGTTGGTCTGTCTGTTTGTTTCTAAAAACTATTTTCTGAGATCACTTTGAAAGACATTGGAACTTTTCCAACAAATTTACTTAAAATGGAGGAAAGTTGAAACATCAGTTATACAGATTCATCCTGAAAAATTGGATCTTCTGATTATCTGTTCTATAAAGATAATTAGGGAAACTTAACATATTACTTAGATAAAGAAAAACCAAGAACTCAAAAGATATAAGTTTATTCATATCATTCATATCATTCATGTCATTCATGACATTCATTCATTCATTCATTCATTCATTCAATTAATTAATTAATTAATTAATTAATTAATTAATTAATTAATTAATTCATTCATTCATGTATTCATTCAATGACATATATCAATGACCAATGGCCCTTCAGAATGTCGCTGGGGTTCTAACCGCTAGGGGACTCATAAATTGCTTGCAATACTATGATAATTGCTTGTTACTCATAATTTTCCAGGGAGAAAGGTCTTACCATATACGCTTTACCAAAGCACCCGTAGATCGAACGATAAAGAGAGGTAATAATCACGTAGAAGAATGCATAGTTGAGGTTCCAGATGGAGTGAAGGTAGATTATTATTGGTAAGAATAGTATCTTATTTTAAATAGATTGTATATCGTAAACAAAAGAATGCACATTTGTAACTAAAACTGTCTACATACAACTGAGTAGGCCCCTTCCTACAACACTTCTCATTCCTTTTCAATTTAATGTACTCGTACTGAAATATACGAGTACATAATTATAGTTTGAATTTCTGGAAAAGGATAACTTAAAGCTCGGTTATTGTTTAATGCTTTTTTAAATGTTTATTTGTAAATCTGTATGTAAGTTATAAAGTAATGCATTTATCAATGAACCTATCCTACGTTTTTGTGTCCTATAAAATGATACGCACCACAGAATAGAAAGGCTGAAATTGTCTTTTGGCTTTACAAAGTTTTCATTTTTATTTATATTTTTAAATGCTAAGGTGGTTTTATATAAGTGACAATTTGTTATAGATTATAGTCTTTAAACTTATTAACGATGATTATTACATAATATACAAGTTCTAATACGCTTCGTACTATTCACCTATCTAAACCAAATCATGTCAGCAATATTACTTCTTCAACATACCATACTTTGATCAATTTTCTTTTTTATGAGTATGTTAGAACGCATATACGTGTCGATTACGTTTTCTTGCATAAAGAATAGGATAATAACGCACGGTAATCGTTATAATGCTTCGTGATTATATTCCTGTGCATTTGAACACGAACCGTACACTAAAATTGATATCATTTGACATAAGTGACTACATACACGAAGAGTATTATGTGCCTAAACATAGCGTAAACTTAGACGGTCTTCTGAACATTGCATGTCCTCATTCTTGGCCAAACACGAAAACAGTCTTAAAAATACTAAATGTCAAGAATCATTTAAGTTTCTGTAAGTTGCGTTCATTGAACGCCGCCTTTCCTTGTTGATCTTGTTTATCATATTCTGTAATGAAAGAAATACCTTAAGACATTCAGACAGATATAAATTGCTAAAACTGAATACTTTTAAAAAATAAAGTTACAGAAAAAACGACATATCCCAGAAAGTTTCAGAATAGTGCATATTGCTTGGTAGATAAAAAATAGTAGGAAAACTGGTTGTATGATTTTTGACCTAATGAAATCAGTCATTTTAACATCTCTGTTATGATCATAATATAGACATATTGTATCTGGTGAAGATATTGATAAAAATGTTATATCTGAAGAAAAAATTAAGCCTATGATTTTGTTAAATTGTAGTAAATGTCTAATTGTTAGCTGTAGAAAATTGGTAAACTTTGTTCGTTTTAATTAAGTGTCTTTATTAAAGATAACTGTCAATTTCTTCAAATTCTATGGACTTAAACATAACGAATATACTTAATCATATGCATAGTTTTTTATGAATTGTCTATCATTTTTAGAAAATAAAAATAGTTAACTGGTCTATCGGCCACACACAAATGCGTATAACATTAGAGCAAATACATTAATTATTTGCATTCCTTATTGAAATAAGACATCACTGATTTTTTCTGCAGCAGAATTGGGAATTTGAAAAGTTTACCGGAAACTAGATCTATAAATAATATAACAAATCCTGATTTGTATTTAAATCTTCAGTTAAAAGCTATCTTACTGCAAATCTAAAAGGCCTTAATAAGGAAGTTTAAATATTTAATACTTTTCGAAGAAATGTTTACAATGGGTGATTCTGTTACATCTTTAATCCATTGAAAATGCTTTCCAACCATCATAATTTTGTTTCACTGCTTCGGGGGAATCGCCATTTTCCAAGATTTTTATCTTTGAAACCATAGATATCACTTGTCATAATAAGGTGTTATTATACATGTTTTTATTCTGTTTTACCTTGTAAACTCAGAATTTTGATACTTTAGATATTCATCTGAAAGATATATCGTTTACTTTACTCTTTACTATATAGAAACGAAGTGAAATATGTCTTTAGGATTAGGATACATGTAGTATTTGTCCCCTTTTTAATGGTAATTTAGTTTGTCATGATCATCTTTATTTTACCTGTAAGTTTATGCACATGTCTTAGGAATGCGCAGTCTCTTTTTTATTTGTTTTAAACACATTGTTGGAAATCCTTTTTTTATAAGCTCACCAGAACCGAAGGTTCAGGGTGAGCTATTAGTATCAAAGGGGATGCTCTGGCTTTCGTCGTCCGTCGTCATGCGTAAAACAATCGTCTTCTTCTCTCAAACTGCTGGGCAGATTTACTTCAGATTTTGTCTGTTGCATTCTTGTGACAGTCACTCTTGAATTTGCTCATGTCATTTCAATTGGCCCCTTTTAGGGGTCAACAGAGCTAAAATAGAAAAACATTTAAACATATTATTCAACAGAACTAATGGATGGATGTTTTTTGGGGTAGTTTTTTTTATCAAGTTTGCTCATATTAATTTGATTGGCTCTTTTTTGGGGTCTCTAAAGCTAAAAATAGAAATACCTTAAAATGTCCATTTCTACAGAACTAATTTACGGATGATCAACAAATTTTGTCTGTAGCATTCTTGGGTAGTCTCTTATCAAGTTTGCTCGTATCAATTTAACTGGCCCCTTTAAGGGGTCTCTAGGGCTAGAAATAGAAAAACCTTAAAACGTCTTCTTCTACAGAACTAATTGATGGATAATCACCAAACTTTGTAGCATTCTTAGGTAGTCTTTTATCAAGTTTGCTCATATTAATTTGATTTGCCCCTTTTAGGGGTCTCTAAAGCTAAAAATATAAATACCTTTAAATGTCAATTTCTACAGAACTAATTTACGGATGATCACCGAATTTTGTCTGTAGCATTCTTGGGTAGTCTCTTATCAAGTTTGCTCACATTGATTTCATTGACCCCTTTCACGGGTTTCTAGGGCCTAAAATAGAAAATACCTTTAAACGTCTTCTTCTGCAGAACTAATTGATGGATGGTCCCTTAACTTTGTCTGTAGCATTCTTGGGTAGTCTTATATCAAACTTGCTCATATTAATTCGATTGGCCCGTTTTAGGGGCCGCTAAAGCTAAAAAAAGAAATATCTTTAAACGTCTATTTCTACAGAACTGATTGATGGATGATCACCAAACTTTGTCTGTAGCATTCTTAGGTAGTCTTGTATCAATTGTGCTAATATCAATTTAATTTGCCCTATTAGGGGTTTCTAAAGTTAAAAATAGAAAAACCTTAAAACGTCTTCTTCTACAGAACTAAATGATGATTGATCATAAAACTTTGTCTGTAGCAATCTTGGGGAGTCTTTAATCAAGTTTGCTCATATTAGATTGATAAGCCCCTTTTAGGGGCCGCTTAAGATAAGAATAGAAATACCTTTAAACGTCTATTTCTACAGAACTAATCGATGGATCATCACCATATTTTGTTTTTAGCATTTGTAGTCTTTTATCAAGTTTGCTCATATTATTTTGATTGGCCCCTTTTAGGGGCCGCTAAAGCTAAAAATATAGAAATACATTTAAACGTCTTTTTCTACAGAACTAATTGACGGATGATCACTTAACTTTGTCTGTAGCATTCTTAGGTACTCTTTTATCACGTTTGTTCATATTAATTTGTAAAGCCTTCTTTAAGGGACCACTAAAGTCAAAACATCATTTCCTACTGAAATAATTGATAGATGATCACCAAACTTTGAAGCATTTTTAGGTAGTCATTTATCAAGTGTGCTGATATTAATTTAATTGGCCCTGATTAAGCTAACGATGAAAAGTCACATGTCATGGCATTTCTTCAAATTATTTTTAAACATATTCTATGCTCAAATTTAATTTTAGAAAATATTGACAATTGATAATTTCCAACACTATAAAGCAGTTGTTTCTGGTGATCGACTCAGGGTCATCACGACCCTCTTGTTTGTTAAATTGCTGCATATCTTATATTAATCTTTCTTTATTGTACTTTGATTTGTGCTGTTAGTGGTGACTGTGTTTAGGGGCACAGTATAGATAAATTCTTACGTTTTTATGTAACTATTTTCCTTTAACCTTTTCCGTCATACAGACGTGTTTTGACGGCTTTTAGCCCCACTTTTTAAGGCCTCAAACATTAAAAAATGCTCTATTTAGGCCCCAAACACTGTTTTTCGTTTGAGAAATGATGTTCAGAAAAGTGACCACTTTTTTCTGCGCCACACCAATCAAAATGGTACATCAGGGGGTTGCCAGAAGGGGGGTTTGCCCCTTCTGTTTGTGGGGTTTGAAGGGGGCGGAAGTCCCCCTCATCGCCAAGAAAATTTTGTTTGGACATGTGACAGGCTAAAAATGGCCTAAGGTCAATTTTAGGGTAACTAGTAACAAACGTTGAAAAGCCTGTTACTCTTTTTCAATTCATTGAGAAGTTGCAGCACTTTGAAATCAGTTTTGATGGGAAAAAAGACAATGCAAAATAGTGATGTTTGGCAATTTTGAGACGTTCCCCGTTGCCATGGTAACAGGAAATTAACGATTGAGCATGCTGTTACAGAAGCTGTAAAAAAATTTCGGATAACAACTAGACTTTTCGAGTATGCGCTTCTATATATCTTTTATTTTAATAATTGAAATAAAATAAAACGACTATGAGTAACATTTTCATATTTAATTTTGTTATATGTATATGACTCATACATGAACGCTTCAACAATGTTATTGCAAACAATAAAGCAATATCGCACTAAATACAATTCAAGGTTGGATTGTTTTGGCCGCTCAAATTTGACAGGGTATCCCGTGTCTAAATAATTCGACCGAGAGGAGATCAGACGTGCTTTATATTACACATTTACTTTTTGCTAAAGTCCAAATACATACAAAACACGCAAACAGTATCATACAAACGCAACGCAACGCAAACGCAAAACACAGTGTTCAACAGTCCAAAAGATTACCGCAAATGACATCAAATTGAAGATTCCATTCATCGCTGGGAACCCAAGCGTATAAATAGAACCCACAACTGACGCCATTGTACGGCAACGCCATACACTGCAACGCAAAAAACAGGAATTGCCAAGTACTACGGGCAAAACCAAATAAC